AAGAAATAAATAATTGAATGTTATGACAGAGAATAGGTTACTAGACATCACACCCCAAACAAAGAGACACACTTAGAACTATTTCAAAACATAAAAAATAGCATGAAATAATAGCAACGGACACATCCAATAGAGTGGGACAAAAAAATATGGAAGAAGTTTATATACGGTTGCAACTTTAAATTTTAAATTGTAGAATTAAGGTACACCTGAAAAATTTACTATAAAATGTTGTTTTGATAGTAGAAAACCCTTTAATTGATCATCTCGACATAGATATGTATGAATATGAAAAGAAAAAATGATTTTGAATATTAAACATAATGTATCTTGTAACATATTATTTGGACGGACAATTTTCAAGATTTTCAAATGTTCTTAGATCTTACTTGATTTGAATCCTTTTTAAAGTTCAAAATTTTATAATTAGAGATGAAAATAGATTCTCAAATCATCCTAAGAAGATTAAATCCGTCATTTGCTCAAGAATGAGTATTAATTCAAAATTTTATAATTAGGACAAAATACCCATGTTTAAGCATAGTAAATCCATGGATAACATGACGCATTTACATTTGGGTATCAATCCCATATGGCTTATTTTAATGGTGTCTTAAACTATGGCATATAATGTTGATCATATATGATTAATAAAGGATAAAGTATACAATAGGACAACTTGTCTTGGGTACAACGAGATCACAATTATTTACAACCATTAGAAGTTAAATTAGCGTTGGGAGTATGCTATTACTTGGAATCTAGAGTCTTCAATTTTTTTTTTTGACTCAAAGTCTCAAGAAGGTTTTATTTTAACTTTATAATATACTTTAAACTCTCATATTTTACTTCTCATAGTTAGGGCAGATAGCCACTTTTTTTTGGTTGTAAACCCTTGTTTTGTTTTTCCAATTCCAAACAACTAGAGGTATTGTTATAACTTAACTGGAGCTATTTTAGCGGGACCAAATTACTAAAATACATTTAATTGTTCAAGGTTCCCAATCTTGAATAGAAACAATTTGAATATCTTTAAAAAAATATCTAAAGTAGTAGCTCATTGAGATGAAATTAAAAAAGTAAACCTATAACCATAAATATGATGATTTATCCTGTGGATATTGAATGATATTAAAATGCCTATATGGAAGGTTTTTGGATATGAAATTTTGAGATAAGTCACTAGATGAATATGTTTTTTCAAGGGAAAATATTTTTATATACTTTATTTTGGTGTACTATTTTTCTATAGACTTAGGGTTTTAAAAAATTTAAGACGGAATAGATTTTCTAAAACTATCAAAAAAATATTCTAAGACAACTTTTATGAGGCTCATAAAATTCATTGCATATTTGATTCTTTTAAGAAACTCATTACTAGATTGAATAGATTACACTCTGTACTCAAAACTTTGGATAACAAAATTACATGGATCCTCACATTTTGTCGAGGCTCACAAAGTCGGATGGTCCCGAGGGAACATATCCTTTGTCCACTCTTTTTTTGTGAGAATATATCCTTCGTCCACTTATTTTTTGAGATGATATCTCCTTTGTCCACTCTTTTTTTAAGAGAATATATCCATTATCTACTCTTTTTTTTTTTTTGAGAGAATATATCCTTTGTCCACTAAAAACTTTTTTTATGAAAATTCTTTTTGAGAGTATTTAAGATAATTTTTTGATTTATGACTATTTTTAAAATCCCAAAATTTTGAGATATAACCTCAACAACTCAACTATTTACCTCACAAAATAAAAAATAAAATCAAATATGCTATGTATGTGTGTGTGTTCATGAAAAAAATAATGCCATGAGAATGTGAGGGGCCATCGAATTTTTGAATGGCTAGATCCAAGTATACAAGAACTCAAAATCCGATTTTTATCTTTAAAAACAGGTATTCAACATCCCAAATTTTCACATAAAAAAATTCTCAATAATAGCTCTTTTAAACGAGGAAGTAAGTGAGCTCTATATGCTTATGTGGGATAAGTATATGCTCTACATGTTTGGTACACGTAAAAATACTTTTATGAAAGTATTTTAATGTGAAAAAACTCTTTTCTATGCTTATTGTAGGAGTTTTTGCACACCAATTAGTTCGAGCATATTTTTTCACACCTATTGAATAGCCCATTGGCATGAAAAATCTCCCATCCCTAATCACATGGAAATTTTTTTCACATGAATATATTTTCACAAATGTATATTTCACACGTACCAAATGTGTGTAGTGTTACCAGAATTGGATTGGCCCCTAAATCAGTAAAAGTAATTCTCTAATCAAAACTGGTTTAGTCAAAACGGCTGAACTGTAATTTAAGAAAAATAATAGTTTTAACAATAAATGGGTGCAGTTGGTATATGGATGCATCAGTAGCTATAGAGGTAAGGTGCACCTTCAAATTTTATCATGGTATATAATTTTGATATAAATGTTTTTAAGATTATCTCAAAGTCTATTTTTATATCTAATTATAAAATTTTAAATTTAAAATATGGTTAAAATTAAGTAGATCTATAAACATATAAAAATCTTGAAAATGGGTGATGTAGATAATATATTGTAAAATGCACTATTTTTTTGACTTAAAATCTGTTTATTCTTCATGTTTATATATCTCGATGATCAATCAATGGGTTTTTCAACATTAAAACTACCTTTTTCGATGGATTTTTAGGTGCATCCGTAGTTCTACGTTATAAGGTTGCATCCTTATATAAACTTTTTCCATATAAAATATATATTTTTTTAAAAAACCCAACTTGTGTACCAGTGGGCTAGTCAAATTGCCCATTCCAATTAACAAAATCAGTTAAACATGAGTTTTGATAGATCGAACTCAATTTTTTTCTTCAGATTAAGGCACTAGATAGTTTGACGAGCTAGACCGGGTGGATCCCATCTTTATAACTATGCTTGAAACTTTGTTTCATAGCCATCGTTCTAAAAAAAATATGTTTCGGATCAGGATTTGATAGGAATAAACTCAATTCCCAATCAACAATAGGAATTGAGCCAGTTCCCACAAAATTAAGAACCCTGCGATCTCCATATCTTGGTTCCTAGAATTTATATTTTTATCTATTTTATTTTATTTTTATCAGCCTATTATCAACCAGGAGAACCGGTCGGATTACGATCTAGATCGACAATTCACCGATCTCGACCTATTTAGCATTGGGCCGGTAAGGATGTTAACTTCATGAGACTAAATCTGCAGTATGATCTCGCGGCAACGCTACTCTCGGAGACAGAGAATCTACTTTCCCCCGCGTGACGGCTACCAAACGCCGGCCTGTTCATTCGCTAAAAGTCCGCCACTCACATCACGGCACGTGTACACGCAATACGGTAGAAACAAGGATCCTCTGTGTTACTCTGCAACCTCGTACGAACATTTAAAACTCGAAAACTATAAAAAAAATTAGTATCCCGTCTGCTTTCACTGAAATCAAAACCTCCAAGAAATGACGCCTCCAATGAGAAAAGCAACACACGCGTGTTCTTCTTGTCCACTACTCATCAATGGCCATTAACGTTTCTCTGCTCTCTTTTCTCTTCCTTTTGAGCTCAAATTTGCTCTGTTCTTTGACCTCTGCAACTTCTTCTCATAAGTGCAATCCCTCCATGGATGCAACCCTATCTGCTCCAACCCCATTAATAAATTTTCTTCAACCGCTGCAGAGAGCTGCCCTGGATTCGTTTGGACCATCGGGCTTCGATCCGAAGCTCTATGTCGATCTTCCGCTGAGGTTCGGCCTCGAGGAGACGGAGAGAGCCTTCCAGGAGCTTCCACGGCTCTCGAATCAGTCTGTCGAAGCTCGAGTCCTGATGGAATTTATTGAAAATTACATGGAGCAGGCTGGGAGTGATCTTGTGTATGTCGAGCCGAGTGATTTTGTGCCGGAGCCTCCGGGGTTTTTGCCAAATGTTGGAAACCTGAGGGTGAGGAAGTGGGCCCTGGATGTCCATGGCCTATGGAGGAATTTGAGCAGGAAAGTTTCAGATGAGGTTGGCAAGAAGCCCGAAAAACACACTCTTCTTCCGGTGCCGGAGCTCGGGATGCTCCCTGGATCGCGATTCAGGGAGGTGTACTATTGGGATTCTTATTGGGTGATAAGGTTTCGCATGCTTTTCTTCTTCTCCTTGGAACGTGGCAATTGAACCTCCATGTTTAGCGTTAGGCAAATTTAGCAGGTGGACCACACTCGAGCTGGACCCACCAAGTCGGCCCGGTGGGATGGGTGAACCTGGACCCTACTAGTGGGTCTGGGTTGGGCCCAGACCTGACGAGTTGACACCACCCCCACTTAGATTTGAGATGAATTTGGACATTAGATTAGCTTGTACATCTCAGTTATTGATGATGATAATGTGTAGTGTTTTTTTTTTCGGCGCAGAAGCTTTTATATTGACGTCATTGCTTCATGGAAATTTTCTCCAAGATTTAAAAACTGAAATATGAGAATTGTAGTTCATTAAAGCAGAAGCTCCAGAAGAATTTTTGGTATCATTTCCAGGGATTTCAGGAATTTGGTTTCAAAATTTATTTCAAACTCCAACAGTTTTTCCTATTTTGTGAAAAAAACATGTTGTTGGACAAAATTTCGGGGTCCAGGTCTGGACCTGCCAATTGGACCTAGTGGGTCGGATTGGGTCTAACAGACTGGGTCCGGGTCAGTCCGGGCGGATTTGGGTGGGTCTAGGTCAGTTTGGACCAATTTGGGGTGGGATGGGTTAGGATCGGGTCGAAACCCAACATGGTTCACCTAGAGCGTAATAATTTCGACCCGGACCCTCTTTACACGCCTATTTAGGTTTAGACAATATGGAATACTAGGTTATTTGTACATCTCAACCATCTATGATGATCTCTTAAACAGTGTTTTGACCATGGTGCAAAACTTTTTGATGTTCATGTGACATTCTCATTAAAATTTCGCAAAGATGTTAAAAAAAGGAATATACTGAAAATGAGAATTTTCGTTCATCAGAGCAGTTGAAATTCTGGAAGAATTTCCTGTAAGATTTGCAGGGATTTCAGGAATTCGGTTTCAAATGTTATTTCAAATTCCACTAATTATATTCTCTATTATTAAAAAAGTCCCCCTTAGTTACTACTTTTGGCCAAAAATTGGGTGAAAATTTTATGCTTGGAGAATTCAGAACCACCCTATTTTCCATCATGGTCATTGATAACCACTTCAATTCTCTCTCCATATTTAGATTCTATTTTAGCTTTCTTTTACTAGGATCTGGTCAGGTGGTAGAGACCCATGTTCATGTGAGAAGGTCCGGTTTGGCCCTTGAAGTTGGTCTTGAGATAAATCAAGCTGATCTATCCCTTTTTTCTATTCTTGATTATTCTTTAGTTCTCCATTTATCTCATAGCATTATATGATGGACTCTTTAGTGCAAAAATTCTTCTTTGATATTCATTTTCAAGGAATGATTCTATATTCCGATGGGCTTATGCCTACAGTTAATCTCAGCTCCAGAACACATAGCTGGAGAGATTTTTTTTTCAGGCCGGTATTTTGGACATCATAGTTGCTTGACAAATTAGACAATTTCATTTTTAGAAATATTGATAATTAATTCTTGAATTTCTAGATCCAAAATCTACTGAATAAACAGCCCGCATTCACCAAAACTTATATTCTCATTTTCCCCAATTTGTGTGAATTCATATTTTTTCATTTTGATTATCTAGATGAGGTCTACACGCATGCAAGATTTGATGTCAAATTGATCCCTACTTCCCAAAGTGGCTTATGCTATAATATAAGCCATGGGCTTCTCATATATCTTTTTCCTTTTTTTGTTGTACAGGGGCTTGCTTGTGAGTAAAATGTTTGACACAGCTAAGGGACTTGTTAATAATCTCATTTCCCTGATTGACACATATGGCTTTGTATTAAATGGAGCTAGGAGTTACTATACGAATAGAAGGTGTGTGTTTCTTCTCTTTGCTTTTTAAGTATGAATGCCGTGGAATAAATGCATTGTCTTCAACTACTATATATGCAATTTGTATTATTGATCGAATGATATCATTTCTCCCATTTCCATAAAACATTTGCTACTTATGCACTCATCCAGAATTAAGTTCACATCCGGGAAATTAGATGAGAGAGGAGTTTAAATATAGTAACATTCAAGTGGTCCCCTTCCAAAATCCATCTTAGAGATGGTTTGATCTAATATTTCACTTGGTAATGGTCTCAACCACCAATATCATGGATATGCAAAAAGAATGAATTTAGACCTTAAAAATAAATTTTTTTTAAATGAATTAATATGAATGGTCCTAAAAGCAGAAGCAGAGTTTAAGACAATCTGTTATTAATATCTATAATCTATTTTTTTTCCAGTTCATGATCTTGTTGTTTGAGAATATCGACATCTTAAATGTTAGATCCAAGATCCATCTTGGAAGGAGGCTGCACTTGCACGATTCGTTGGCCGATGGAATAAAACCCTGTCCATTTGATTATTCGCATATGTTGCTTTGATGATGACACAACTGAAAAAATATTTGTTCTAAGTGTCATCAATATGCAAGAAATTTGGAACGTATTTGTTTAGATACTTTGTTGCAGGCTTCCATTGAGCTTGTGCTGTCATTCTTTGCAATTCCTTTTTTTCAAGCAAAGGTTAACTATTTTTTGGGATTCCTTTTTATATTCAATTTTAAAATATCAACATAAATCCGAAAGGTCAAGTATGATTTTTCGTTACCTACTTTTAGTGGGTTGCTGGATTGGAGCTTTTGTGCATGTGAGAGTTAAGGCACTACGTTTGTGAAACTTTGTGTAGCAAGGTTTAAGTGTTATTATTTATTTTCAAACTAGGTAGCTATTAACATCCATGCTTTGTATCAACTTGTTGACATGATTTAGGAGGAAAGAGAAAAAGCAAAATTTACTTAAATAACAATAAAAAAAAATACAAACAGCTATGTCTGATATTAAATACTTCACTTGGAAATTACATTTTCCTTCATGCTCAAATTACATTGGCAAGTTGCATTTGTATAGTTACTAGTTTGTTTTTATCCCATTGGACCCTTTATTCAGTTGATGAGGTCTTGTATTAGAAGGAACACAACAAGATAGATATGTCGGATGAAATACTTAAGCTCATTTTCTTTACACACATATAACTCATAAATTAACGTTAACTAATGGATGACTAAATCAGAGGAGTGGTTTATTACATTTGGGTTATCAGAGGAGTGGCTTATTACATTTGGGTTATTACTAAATCAAGGGGTTTAGTACCACCAGCTATTGTATAGCTACTTCATTGGCTTCCTTGTGCCTGTGCTTGAATGATACTTGCTCGGAGTTAATTTTGAGAAACTCATTTAGCTTAAAAAAGGAAGCTTGGGAATCTCTTCTATCATATCCATAATTCTCCATAGTCAAGGTACTTTTTCAGCCTTGTTTTATCACATTCACTCAATCTTATACTTGCAAGGATGGATCTTTTGCTTCCTCTCCTCTATTCTGTGGATCTCCTTTTACTCTTACCTGAGTCACATAGAGCTGCTTTTAGTGTGCAAGATTGACATATAAAGGGCATGTACCTTTCGTACATGTCAAAACATATATGGAAGTGGTGAGAGACAGAGATACCTTTGGCAGAATGATAAATATGGAGAGCAAGGAGTCACCCATGTAGGGTCAGGAGTCAAGTGGACTTTGAAGTTTGCTTATGTCATTGGTGAATAAGAGTTGACTTGACATCTAAAACTTCACAATGGAAAAGGGAGGTGTATGTCCTCAACTATCTTATTGACTTTACTAAGTTTTGAGCATTTCTATAAATCAATAGCAATTAAAAGATTCATTAAACATACTTAAAATGTACATTTTCATGAGAGAGAGAGAGAGAGAGAGAGAGAGAGAGAGAGAGAGAGAGATGAAGGTGGATTACCTTAAACTGAACTTTGCAGTGCACCTTGAAAAAACTTACAGCTATACTCATGCTGTAATGAGGTTTCTTCTCTAAGTAATCTGATAATAAGCTTCATGAGCTTATAAAAATCTAGAATTAGAAGGGTCTTGGGGAGAGTTATCTCTGCAGACCATCTGAAGTATGATGAACATTAAACAAAATCCATCTCATCTATCTTGGCTTTCATGGGAATCTTGTGTAAATGTTATTTTTTCCATGTATCTTGATGTATCAGCCCCTTAATCTTTTGAAGTTTGAAATATGAGTATCACGGGAATTTCTGCAGCCAACCACCTCTCCTAAGTGCAATGATCTGGGAGATTTACATGAGAACTGGCGATTTGGATTTTGTTAAAAAATCATTCCCTGCTTTGCTTAAAGAGCATAAATTTTGGAATTCAGGTAATTTTTGGAACTTTGTTCGACCAATAGCATAAGCCTATAATAATTATCTATCAATTTGCAAAACTCGTTGCTCTACTTTTGCCTGTTTACTACCGGTAACATTTGGCTGAAATGACAAGTCTATTATCCTGTTTCAGGATTTCACAAAGTGATCGTTCAAGATGCACATGGTTGTAATCATACTTTGAGTCGGTACTATGCAATGTGGAACAACCCCAGGCCTGAATCCTTTACAATTGTATGTACTTTCCTCTGCACAATGCATAACATCATTGTAGATGGTGTTTGCTATCCATGCTAATTTGATTGCTCCTTCAACAGGATGAGGCATCTGCCTCCAAGCTTCCAGATACTTTTGCAAAACAGCAATTTTACCGTGAAGTGGCTTCAGCTGCTGAATCTGGCTGGGATTTTAGTTCTCGATGGATGAGGTAGCTATTTTTGCTTTTTTTTAGTGTTAGTTTCTTCTTTGTACAGTACTTTTGGGACTTCTTGCTATTAATATGTGTATCTTTAATATGTGTACCATTTTCTTTAGTCTAATAAGGGTGAGGACCTTAAACTTTCTTTTAACCCGTCTCAAGCACGGGTAAAGGAGGTAGGTTGCGTTAGACAGATAGCCGAATAGAGGAACAAGATTCATGTAGCCAACCCTAAATAATTGGAATAAGGTTTGGATGATGATGATGATAAATGTGTACCAATTTCTTGTCAATACTTTCCCAATATAAAAAAAGCCCTCAAGTTGGTAGTCCTTTTGAATAGCATGTAACATAGCAGTAATATTTTGCCAGTATAGCATGACTCACAATGCCTATTTTTATAACATTAACTCTTGATGGTTTTCAAGACATGCATTTTGGAAGCACTCCCAATATTCTATCGTCATTTTGCAGCATTTCTAAAGAAATAATGTTTGGCAGTTTCTGTTTCCAAACTATTTATGCATTACATCTGTTGGAAATGCTTTTTTTTTTTCCCCATTTAAAAAGAAGCATTTGTGGTTCTTAAATTGCAGTTCACCTTCAGTAAAGCCAAGACAAAATGAATTACAGTCCATGAATGCCAATGTTTTGTGGATACCAACTTGAATTATGAATCTGAATTGTCTAAATATTTAGCATGTATTCTTCTTCTTCTTCAATTGTTTCATTTCTTCAGATTGAAAAAGAATTGAAGGCTTACCTCTCCTTAAAATAACCAAGAACGGGTCATCTAAGTTTCCCAGCACATATCTTTTTTATTCATCTAGTTGTGGCATTTCTTTTATAACCAATACTGACATATCTTCTCTTGTAGTGACCCAACTGATCTTACAACATTGCGAACAACATCAATTCTTCCGGTGGACCTTAATACATTTATACTAAAGGTATCACTGTTTTCTTAAAGTAATCATACTGTCTATGTTTAAAGCGTTTTATTATCTGCAAAATGTGTTCAAATTCATCCATTCCTTTTCATTTTTTAAGTTGGAAAAGCTTTCTTTAGATTAGGTTGCAGATGATCTTAGCGACATTACAATAAACTAATAAGAAATGAATTGTGTTCTAGATGGAGTTGCACATTGCTTTCTTTGCCAAACTACTTGGAGAAGCTTCAATATCTAGGGACTTTATAGCTGCTTCTGAAGCTCGTCGTACAGCAATCAAAACCATTTTTTGGAACTCAGAGATGGGCCAGTGGCTTGACTATTGGCTTGGTAACAGCAGATGTGAGGTACTTCCATGCTCATCAGCCATTGTGTATTTCATTCTCTCTCATTTATTCAGATGTTCTTAATTATTGGATTTTGAATATTTCAGGACATTCATAAAATGGAAGCTCATAATCAAAATCAAAATATTTTCGCATCAAATTTCATTCCTCTATGGGGTGAGGTTGATTCAGGTTTGTAACAGAATGGATTAAAAAAAATATGAATTAAAATATATTTTTCTTATCTCCAAAATCCTTTTTGGCTCGTTCAATTGATTTTATTTCCCTTTAGAATTAGCTTGATTGATGTAACAGATTGTTAAGGTGCACTTTATAACAATAATGTCAAGTAGGTGAATCAACTGAGAAGGTTATGAAGAGCCTCCAGAACTCTGGTCTTCTTCAAGTTGCAGGGATATCAACTTCACTGTTGAACACAACTCAACAATGGTTAGTTGCTTCCATTCCATGTTGTTTTTAAATCAATTCTGTGGTTGGATCATGTTCCTGTTGAGTTCGGTTTCTTGCGGTATCCTTGAACGTTGAATAGTTGAGGAGAGAATCAACTATTCAGCATACTTTTTATCTATGTTGCAAGACACAGGCACAGTTGTCTATATGCTATGGACATCTAAGGGTCAGATGCGGTGGCCTAAAATCAAGATACAGAAAGACACATCCGTACACATTAATTTATAATAAAATAATATGTTTTAATATATTTATTATAAATAGTTTGTATTTATTGCACTTAAATGTGGTTGATGCAAGGATAGAATACATAAACATGACACAAGATGTCTTCAAACGCCAGCCTTGTGCTTCAATATTTTGTTAAGGTTTGTGTGTCTAGAATTGTACAACATCCAAGTATTGACATGCGTTCACATGCGAAATGGCTCTAGATAAAGAGTGTCTGAGTAACACAACTTCTTATGCAGGGACTTCCCAAATGGTTGGGCTCCATTGCAGCATATGATCATCGAGGGCCTCGCAAGGTCTGGGTCCAAAGAAGCGAGAACATTGGCCCGAGACATGGCTTATTGTTGGCTTCGAACAAATTATGTAGCCTTTAACAAAACCGGACAAATGCATGAGAAATACGATGTCGAAGCATGTGGCGAGTTCGGTGGGGGCGGCGAGTACACACCCCAGGTGACATTTTCTCAATCTCTGTATGAATATCGTCCATTAGAAGCACATTACCTTATGGTACATATGGTTAGGAACTTAGAATTATGGGAAGGTACACCATAACCCAATGATGTATGGTATATACTACCCCAAAGGGCATCGGCATCTGTTCCTGATGATGGATGGTGGAGATTGAGTTGTAGTGGGGACCATGGGGAAATTCACCTGGTTGGGGTTCATCACCACCATCCACTAGGTGCAGACATGGACGTCCCATGTTCAATCAAATACAATACCCCACGTATGTTGCATATTGTGCACCCAATGTTCCGTTACTCGGCTTTGCCCTATGGGTGAGGCGGCTTTTTCCCGAGTCTTTTGTACTACAATATATATATCTTTATGTAAGTAATATTTAATGGGTGTGGTTTCTATAAGGTTGCAACCTTAAACAATCCAATTACGACACACTTCCAAATTTTATCATAGCATGTAATTTTGTTGTACAAAAGTATTAGGATTATCTCAAAATCTATTTTCATAACTTACTATAAAATTTTAAAATCCAAAAATGGTTAAAATCAAGTAGACCTATAAACATATGAAAATCTTGAAAATGGGCGGTCTAGATAATGTGTTGCAAGATGCACTATTTTTGAGACGCAAAATCTTTTTTTTTTCAAATTCATTTATCTTGATATCGAGATGATCAATTACAAGGGTTTTCAACATTAGAATAACTTTTTTCGATGGATTTTTGAGGTGCATCTATAATTCTACATTTGAAGGTTGCAACCTTATATAAACTTTTTTCATATTTGATAAATGCCCACTTTTATTAAAGTGGGGTTCAAACTGCTCGATGGGTAGCTTGGACGGTTCTTTGCCATTATGCCGAGGGTTCAAAACTTGTCATCAACAGTGCCTCTTTTTTTTTTTGGACCCATTATTGGACCCGGATTGGGTCTGCCCCTCGGGTTTGGGTCCATTGCTACCCCTAATGTAAGAGCGGCATGTCTAACTAATATGCTATTTTGCATTTGATGTTAAAAATAGAGAGATAACTAATTTTTTGGCCTTTATTTTTATTTTTTTCAATGGGGCTGGACTTAGATGAGTTACTCGGACTCGCCCGAGTAAATCGGGCCTAGTACCCGATTGGACCCAAATTCACCGGATCCGGACCCAAGCTAAAAATTAAAATATTTATATATTTAACTATATTTCATAAATTGGGACTCAAAAATATTACTAGACCCTGATTCGGACCTGGACCTAAAATAGTGTTTGGGTCCAAGATTTGGACCCGGATTTGATCTGCTGGGTGCAATTTTTGGACCCATAACCGGACCCGGATCGGGTCTTCCTCTCGTCCGGATCCATTGCACAGAGCGGCACAGCTAACTAGTAAGCTAGTTTGCATTTGACATTAAAAATAGAGAGATTATATAATATATATTAATTTTTTGGTCTCTATTTTTATTTATTTTAATGGGACTGAACTCGGACTTGGCCGAGGTGAGTACACTGGGTGCACCATATCCAATGGAAGTTACGTCCCACGAAGATGTTTCTTGGAAGAATATGGCCAAGTTGGTTCTCTCTCTCATATTCTCATTCTTATTATTCATTTTTGTTTTGCGTTTACTCAGCCCAAAATATATGGCCCAAGCTATGCTCTTAGCATTAGGGGTCTCAATGGACCCAGACCCAACCCGGGACCCGATGTCCAGACTGAACACAGGTCTGGATATGGATCCAAGAATTGGACTTGGCGAGTGAGGTCTGGGTCCAATATTTGAACCCGAATGCTATTTGGGTCCAGGGCTATGTGGACCCGATCGGAATAGTGTTATTATATAACTCATATTTAATATATAATATTGTAATAATATTTAATTAAATATAATTATATATTTTATTTATAATATTTAAATAATATACGTATATATTTAACATAACATTTAAATATATTTAAATATATATTTTTTATTTTTACGTCAGGTCCAATCGGGTTCGGATCCCATAATTTCTTTTTTGGGTCCGGGTCTGGGTCAAGTCGGACCCAATCCGTTGCCACCCCTACTTAGGCTCCAAAACACCAAATTTCTGCCAAAAGTCTGCTGAATTTTGATTTCATTGGATTATACTTCGTATTGGTGAAATTCTTATTTGCTTAAATGATTAGAGAATGACATTTGTTAGAAGAGTAGCTATAAAATTTCTCTCCATTGGATTATAATTTAGTAATTGCATTCAGCTTTGTTTCTTTTGAGTCTTGGAACTGATTTCCATCATGCTGTAGACTGGTTTTGGTTGGACAAATGGTGTGGCCTTGGCACTTCTTGAAGAGTTTGGGTGGCCTGAAGACCTCAATATCAGCTGCCAATGATTTTGTTGGAAATATTAGTGTTCTAAAACTCGGTTGAGTCCACTCAAGACTTGCCTAAGTTACTTGGAATTGGCAGGCATCTAGTCCCTAAGAAACTGGTCAAACTTGTGGGTTCTTATATTTTATTGTTATTATTTTTACAGAATTCGTACTCATTATATATCAAATTGGATGGTTTGGAATGCGTCACGAAGTTCAAGAATCTTTTTTGGAACTTTATGTCTATTCAATGGCATTCTTACAATCACCCATTTTGAAATTTAATGGACAACATTGAAATGGAATAATTTGGGATAAAAAAAAAAAACAAAATAGTGAAACATTTGCGTAAATATATAAAGGGATTGTCGACAAATAAACCATTTATTTTTTGTATATAGAGGTCACAATCATTATCACTTAGTATGAAAATTTTTTTTTGGGAACTTTGTTTGTCCGATGACATTCTTACAACCGCTCATTTGAAATTTAAGGGACAAAAATAATTGTGACCTCCTCATACAACAGATAAATGATGTCTTTCTAGAGAATCCCGTATACAAAATACGCGATCCTCTTCTAAATATACTTCTTATGAAGGGATTTATCCATAGGTTTCCCCAATATTTGACAATCATGGGGCAATGTTGATATTATTAAGTTTTATAGGAGGAATTACTTCCCCATTCATATTTGCTTAAATTTTCTCTAAATAACAAGTTTCATTTTTTTATAAAACATCTTGATTAGATTTGTCTAAATCAAGCCAAAGAAGCTGAACTAACTATCACCAAGTGTTTCTAGATTATTATGCTTCAGTTAGGGTGTAAAACCTCAAGACGTTTGCTTTTTTCACTAAAGCAAAGCGATTGTTATGGCACCAGTCCATATTATAACTGCCAAATGAGAGAAATTGGAAAATATGAATTGCTCCACAATAAAGTTTTAAAAAGTGGATACAATAGGTGTTACCTTTTTTAATTAGTTATGATTAGTTTATAATAAAAAATAAATTAACTGAAATCATAAGAAATATAACTTCAAACTTGTGTTTATTTTTTAAACTAATATAACCTCTATTTGGTTATTAATAAATGGTAGCTATTTTTACCTCTATTAGGTTGTTAATTAATGGGTGTTATTTTTACTGTTATAACAGCCATCCCGTGGAATATCTAATTTCTGTAAACTAATGTTTAAAAATTGAACTATTGGGTCAAATCATTGTTCGCAAAATCGCCGGATCTAAACGCTAACCGCCCGGTTAGATTGGAACCGGCCAGTGGTCGGTTTCGGTTTTGGGCGGTTAGGTTGATCAACTGGTATTTTTTTTTTTTAGAAAAAGTATATAAATTCTCAAAAATAAGAAATTTGATTTGTAATGTATTTTTAAATATTCTTTACATTATGGTAAAGATTAAAAATTGTTTTGGTCATTAATACTTACTTTTATATTTTTTCATCTTTTTAGAAAATTTTAAAAATCGTCTTGAAAAATATAAATTAAAATCTATTTTTTTCATTAATTTTTAACGTCATTTAAATGTGTTTTGTTTTAATCATTCTTTGTATACTTTTCATATTTTAGTAGATTTGCTTTTGTATTTTATTTTTATTTTTTCAATACTTTTTTGACCGCCGAGGACTTGTCCGGTTAGAGCGGTTGAATCGGCTGTTTTACCGATTAGGTCGGTTAAACGGCTTCCATGCCCATGTCCGATTAACCATCCCGGTTCGATTTTGTGAACACTAGGTCAAACATGCTACCCACTAGTTTTGAGCCAGCTTGAGACTTCGGACATGGCTCGCCGGTTCTCCAAGGTTTCTGACCTACCCTTTGTAAGTTGGCTTGCCAATTAATTAGTGTAGATGAAAGTTGGACAAGGTCATCTATCATGGTGTATATAGATTTTAATTTTTTCTTTCTCACCGATTAGAACACTTACAAAAATCCAAGTACAATAAAATTCACTTGAAATTAATAAATAAAAGTGGTTCTCACTTTAAAACACTTACAAAAGTCTAAGTACAATAAAATTCACTTGAAATAAATAAATAAAAATGGTTCCCACTTGCTGCCACTAATTACAACTTTTTTTATTCAATGAATAAAACTAGCACAATGTTTATAGGAATAAGAGAGCATAAGAAATGAAACATTGCAAGCCACAAAGTAAAATGCGAGAAGATTATGTTAATTGGACTTAGTGCACCCCACATCGGGTCTCTTTCTCCAATGGCTCACGGGATCAATGGTCTATCTCAGATCTTTGAAATATGGGAAAGCCTTAATTACAACTTTTAATCATTATAAGAACATGGAACATCACAAAAACCACGAGGCCTCATGAGAACGTGGAACATCACATAAACCACAAGACCGCAATACCTTATATATGTGGGGTGTACCTCATCTTTTTATTTCTAGCTTAGGGCGTGCCCCTATTTCTAACTTAAGAAATATTTTTCTAAAGGAGAGGGAGATCTTAGAGAGAAGAAAGAAAGAGAAAAGAGGTGTAGAGATTTATGGGAGAGATGACCCATATTTATAGAGTTTCCAGAGGTTAGGGTTTCTTTAGAGTTAGTCATCTTTATGTAAATTAGATTCATATCATTATATATAGGAGACCTGTGGGGTGAGAGATTTGAGCAATACAATTATTAGATCAAACAACATGATTCAAAGGAATGTGCTAGAACTTTATTCTTCAACTTCCTAAACTTAATCCCATCAAATAATGAAAATATGAAAATAATATTATACTTATATTTATTTTTCATAATCTTCTTACACAAACTTTTTCATTAAAATCAAATTACGTTAATTTCAAAACCTTCCATTCTTGTTTCAATCAAAATCTTTGTAAAACACTTTTCATAAATTTTCTAACTTGATTGATTCCCTTGATTCACAATGTTAGAAAATAAAAAAGTACCCCCACTAAATGGGGTGTGCCACCCATAGGGCCCTATGTGGGCCCTAGGCACATCACAATGGTGGACTTGGTAGGTCCCATGGGTCCTCTCAAATATTTATGAATTATAAAATTATTAAAATGATTTTTAGGATTTTGTAAATAAAGAAATTTTCTCTCTTAATATTTAAATATTGAAATTTGAATTTCTCTAATTTTTGTTAATGTATTTTGTTAAAATAAAATATCCAGAGACTCATAAAAATTTAAATAATCAATCTAAAAATCTTTTACCATCAAAACAATTAAAATTGAATAATTTTTTATAGGGATCAGATCCGACCAGGTCTGAGAATTATATTATTGTTGAAGCACTTCATCTTCTATTGTGGACTCTAATCCAAACTTGCTTTTTCAAACTGACCCAGCAGTTCCATAGTCCACAGACCTTCAAAGGGGTTAATGCGTAGGCCACTAAAATCCACTAATAGACAAGATGATACGATTCCAGTTTATGGATAACAGGCTCTCCCTTTGATAGCCGTATCAAGAAAACGAACCATCATTGAGGGTGAAGTATGTACATATGCGAGAGATTGCCCCTATGTACCATAGAGCTGTGGTTGTATTAGGTATGTGTGACCTTGAACTCGTCTCTATGTATATGTTGTGTGATGGTTTAGTGATGAGCTTTTGGTTATCGTCTCTAGATGTTAATCATCACACACAAAGGTCACATAGTCCACACATCTGAGCAACTCTGACCTTATCAATGGATGACTCATTAAAACCCTCATCAGTTTTGTTCCATGCTCAAGCAATAGGGGTTTTCCAACTCACTAGCCTAACATGTCAAGTCAAGTCTGTATCGATCCCTTTGGACCATTATCTCTCGATCCCTTTAGACCATTATCTCTTGGTCCCTTAGACCACATTCTCTAGGTCCCTTGGACCACATTCTCTAGGTCCCTCTAAACTATATTATCTCGGTCCCTCAGGGCCATACTCCCACTAGAGTTCTTTGTTTTACTATATCAGATATTGATTACATGCTCTTGTGCCTTCAATGGCTACAAAAATCCAACAAGTTAAGTAGTGTAGATTAAAATTGCACAAAAAATGCATATTTATATGGTTGATTAGTTAAACAATTTGGTGGTAATGGAGGAGCATTTGTTAGTTAAGAGAACTTAGAACCTCAGGTCTATGGTAAAGTTATGTTTAAAAGAATATTATTTAGATGAAGGAAGCTTAGCTACTTAAAATTTAATTACTCACACATTGCCAATATGGTGTTGGTGGATTATTATAAAAGTGAGTGAAAGAATGTGCACCCCTTGAAAAACTAGTCTACATGATACACTTAGCTTGTGCAAAGTGCATCAAGTGACAATGTAGCATGTATTTTTGCTAGGAGAGCATATTCCTCCTAGTTCTTGCGTGTATTTAGAGGATGTGAACCTTAGGGCTACCGAGATGATTTTCTGGTTATTTTAAGGTTAATTTAAGTCATTTATAATTACTGGAGCAGATGGAATTTTTTAATCATTTTATTTATATTTAATATCATTTATTTTAAAAGTCACTTGGGTTTGGAAATATGAGTCAATTTGATATTTGTATGGACACCTTTTAAACATTAAAAAAAAAATGTAAAAGTGGTGCGTGGAGGGTTGGAAGCTCAATTACATGAATCTATTTTAGAAATAATGAAAGAAAAGCCCTAGGCTTTTGGGACTCTAGTTGGGTTAAGGAAAAAATCTAGGGTTTTTAGGCATTGCTTGTGTTTGGCTTCAAGTTTGTTAATTTTGCCATTCTCGATCAATTTTTCAATATCAATTTGGTACTAGAGCTCAGGTTTTTTTAAACAACAAGGCTAGGAAACTACACCCAAGTCTATGCTTTATTGATTTTGGGCTAAGTTTTATCAAATTCAGCTTAGATCTTGTTGATTTCAGTGAGAATTTTTATTGGTTATCTGCTTAGGATTTGTGATTTTGGTAAACCTATAATGGTAGAAGGGGCTGTGGAATGGGGCTTTCGTAGACCCTCTTTGTGATCCCTGAGAGGAGGCAATTGAAAACCTCAAAAGGTAAATTCAGTAGCTGACGAAACACTTTGCAAGCATCAATCATGGGCAAGACGGTGATATTTTGGCCCAAGAAGATCTCAAATACAACTCTTTTCATCATCATGATTCCAATGATAAATATAGTGACAAAAGGCCTAACTTCAAGTATTGTGTTGTTTTATTAGAGAAGCTCTATATTGTAATCACTATTTGCTAGTTGA